AATAATTTTTTTAGAATATTGTTTAAGTCACCAAATATAATAAATACAAGTAGATTTCGGTGGAATTCGTCCTTGATCATGTTGACATTAAAGCTGAACACTATTCGTAAAAGGTATCTTAAGAACCCAATATATAGGGTTTGGCTGATAGACATTTTTCATTGCAATCAGTCGACACCACTGTTGACGGACGTATGCTATACAGCACTTGATAGCAACAAGAATGACAGATACTTCGTCTGATGCAGGAAAGTATGATACCAAAGAATCGTACAATTAAAATTTTACAGGTCAGTGCAGTAAACAAACAAACACAGATACACGTAATAAAATGTAAAGAAAAGCACTGCAAGAAAACCAATACGAACACGGGTGCCACGCCGATACCCGTGACAATAAAGCAGTCAACGAATGTGAAGAGTAAACCTGGATTGTAGATAATAATATATCCAAAATGGCATATGCCTATTTAAAGCATTGCTGTGACGTCAATCTTTTTTTTCTTGCAGTCTAAAATTTTACCTGTAGCAGCATGATATTTGTGAGCAATCTTATATTAATCGTAATAACAGACTGTCTCAGTACTGATATCTTGCAAAATTGGACTGTTACTGAACAAAAGATTTTTTCTTTTAATGTGATTATTAAACCAACAGCAATTTGAATTTCTCACATAGAATGATGATTTTGAAACACTGATCTCGCAGAATTGCAAAATAGAAAAAAATAAACTTTTAATTATACAGAAAACATGCGGCAGACCAGATCATGCCCCCAAAAAGGTGAAGTTATAAAACACGAAGAAATGTTTGAACCCTTTTCTCTGGTTTTTGAAAAAGTGTAGGCGAACTCTGGGTTACCAGAGAAGCACAGAAACTTTCAAAACCACGTAAATAAATTCAAAATAAAACACAAACTTTAGACACTATAAAGAATATTATTCAAACAATTTGATATCATTTTTCTCATAGAAAGAAAAATGTCTTTGCAAAATTAAGGAAGCTAACGTTAAGCCTAGTATATGATAATTAGTACTTAATTTGGTAGATTCGCAAAAAAAAATTTGAAAGAAATTAAAAGAATTTCAATGTTGCCCTCAAACCTCCTGGATTATTGACCGTTTGTTTTCCTGTAATGGTACATCAAAAACAAAGGTACTTGCAGACGCTAAAGATAAAAAAATTAAATGGACTGATGTTCCTTCAGCATCTGCTTAATTTTCTTCATATCTGTATTTTTCATTCCATTCCAGATTTATCATTCACTAGATTGTTTGTATGAAGATTCTTTGCACTATGTATGTTTTAAGGAAGAAAAAAGTTGTCCCCACTCACCTTCAAATTATTTCAAATACCTTTTACAATGAAGCCAAACGTAAATACTTTTCATTTAAACCTGCATTCTTAAAAGAATTGCTTGTGGTCATTCACACCTTTGTCTTTTGTTCTAATATCGGACTGTCTCAGGTTAATCAAAAAGCAATGTTTTAATTGCGATATAATGCAATTCTGTAATTACGATATCATGCAATTCTGTATGTATTGGATATATGCCGAATACAGTTCTGTATTACAAAATGTCAGACAGTTTTCTGACAGGCCTCAAACTGGCTGATATTTTTTAATACAGAATTGTATGAGGCATATATCGTACTTAAAACATTGCTTTTGAGTTACCTGAGACAGTCCGATAGTAGAAGAAAAGACAAAGGTGTTAATGACCACTGAAGCAGTTCTTTCAAGAATGCAGGCTTAAATGAAAAGTACTCAGTATTTAGGGATTTGGCTACACTGAAGAAGGTATTTGAAAGAATTTGAAAAGGAGAGTGGGGACATTTTTCTTCATTAAAACAAACGGAGATTAAATCAGTGCAACGATTTATCATACACACAATCTAGTGATTGATGAATTTGGAATGGAATGGGAATTGCCGATATGAAGAATATCCACAGAAAATTAAGCAGATGCTAAAAGTATACTCGTCCATTTCATTTTTTTATGTTAAGCGTCTAAATATACCTTTGTTTTTGATGTTCCATTACAGAAAAAACAAACATAATCAATAATCCTGGAGTTTTGTAGGAAACGTTGGAAAACTTCAAATTTCTTTCAAAATTTGTTGCAAATCTGTCAAATTAAGTAAATATTATCAAAAATAGGCCCAGTTACCTTGTTTTGCATCTAGGCATATTCCTTTTAATGAGAAAAATGAAATCAAATCGTTGAATGCTGCTCTTAATAGTGTCTAAACTTTGTGTTTTATTATGAAAATATTTTGGGGGCTTTGAAAGTTTATTTGCTTCTCTGGTGACCCCCCAGTGTGCCCACCCTTTTCCAAAAACCAGAGAAAGGGGTTGAAACACTTCTCCAATTTCAATAAGTTTATTAGAATTTTATCCGTTTTTTTGTGGGGTTTTTTTTTATTTGCATTATCTGTTCTGTCGCATGTTCTTCTTTCTGTTACAGTATATTCGGTGTAGTTGAAAGTATTTTTTATTTTGCAATTCTGTAAGATCAATGTTTCAAAATTATCATTCAATGTGAGAAATTTAAATGGCTGTTTGTTAAATTATCACACTTTTTAGCTCACCTGAGCTAAAAGCTCAAGTGAGCTTTTCTGATCACTTTTTGTCTGTTGTCCGTCCTTCTGTATGTAAACTTTTCACATTTTCGACTTCTCCTCAAGAACCACTGGGCCAATTTTAACGAAACTTGCCACAAAGTATCCTTGGGTGAAGGGGATTTAAGTTTGTACAAATGAAGAGCCAAGCCCTCTTCCAAGAGGAGATATTTATGAATTAATGAAAAATTAATGGTATCTTTTAAAAATCTTCTTTTCCAGAACCACTGAGCCAGGAAAGATGAAACTCGTGTGGAAGCATCCTCAGGTAGTAAAAATTCAAATTTGTTCAAATCATGACCAAAGTTTTACATAGAAATATATAGGGATATTCTTTAAAAAGCTTCTTCTCAAGAATGACAAAGCCATAATTGATCATATTAATATGGAAGCATCCTCATCTAGTGTAGATTCAAGTTTGTTCAAATCAAGACCCCCGGGGGTAGGGCGGGGCCACAATGGCCGACCAAAGTTTTACATAGAAATATATATGAAAATTCTTTAAAAATCTTCTCGAGAATAGCAAAGCCATGATTAGTCATGGGACTACTTTTTGATTAAAACTTTTCAATAATTAACCAATTTCTACTTTTTCCTAGCCACAGTGCTTAGATGAGCGATGTGGCCCATGGGCCTCTTGTTATTTCTTTTGTTTAGTAGCAGTCCAATTTTTAAGAATATCAGTACTGAGACAATTTGATATTACGATTAATATCAGACTGCTCACTAATATCAGACTGCCACAGGTAAATTTGTAGACTGCAAAAACAAAGGAATGGCATCACAGCAATGTTTTAATAAAAAATATCGGACAGTTTTTTACCTTAACGGACCTCACACTGTCTGCTATTTTTTTTTAATTTTTAATACATAGCAATTCGGCTTATATCCAACACTTACGAGTCGTGTTCAGCTTTATCGACAACGTTGTAAAACGAAAATAGCAGACCGCCGACGTCTTTGATTAGCCCTAAGACTGGTTGGTTTAGAGATGGAATAGAATATAGGATGTAAAAATATGAATGTGATGCTATTAAGGCAAGTACGTTTCTTTTTCCTATCACAACGCTACCAAGCTTAAGAACTGAGCTGATTTCCTTATTATTATGGGAACGTCGGTAATTTTTATTTAGTACCTAAAATTCAAACTTGTGATTTAATGTGACATAGTCCTAAATATGATATTGCTGTCTGTCAGTCCTGTGTGCCATAAGTTTTGTTTTATTTAATTTCAAGTATTTGTTAGAAAACAGACCAAAAGTAAATTTTTGTTTCATTAATTTTCTTTTTACGATAAAAGCTAGATCAAGACAGTTGATCTGATTGAAAAATTATCCGATAATTATGTAATATCTTTTCTTTAATTTGTTCTCGTCCAATCAAAACAAAAAGAATTAATAAATAAAATTTGGAATTAATTTAATATATAGTAATTCTGAATTTGTTGATGGATATACAACTATACGTCATATATATTTTTTAATATATTCAACATGTTCAAATTGAATGAATTTCTTTAATTAATATATGATATCTTTAGTTATATTTTTAGAATCGCAGATATCTAAATAAAGTTAATTGTAAAAATATACGTATACTTTTCCAGATGTAGGCTCATTGAAAGTTGGAATAAAAGATGTCAATGCCAGCTCTTCTAATCTAGACCCCGTATGGGTTATGTCAGGTAACCAAGGGGATACCTGGCATAAAGGATCTCTAGAAATCGGAGCAAGGACCTCCCGTTTCCAGGTAGTACATTTTCTCCCTTCTGCATGATTTTTTTAAGTAAAAAGGATTTTTATGTTTAGATTATTATCATGTTTACATGTAAATTGCAGACAAATAACGAGAAATGCAGATTTATTTGAGGTATAATTTTTTTCTGTGTAGATTTTAATTACCGGGACTCGTGGGGATGACCGTCGCGGGAACATTGCAATTGATGACGTTTCCATCACCAACTGTACATATGGTAAACAAAACACTTATTTCTTTGTCTGCATTTTAGCATAAGGCACATAACTAGTAATCTTAAAAACGTTATACTTCAAACATATAGAGGTTCTAATAGTTCACAAACAGGGGCATCTGATCTGATCAGTGTTCTCTACTCTCCATATGAAATACAGTCCAGGGAAGAATCGAAAGTAGCACACGAACTGTAAACAAAATAGAAAAAAACAACTTACTTGGAAAAGTTGCATACATCCTCATATGCACTAGCGAAAATGATATCCTAGTACTTATCCAAGCTAAAATATTCAAAAATATAACCAACGTACATAGCTTTTATCCAACTAAAACCCCAGCTTTCTGCACAGTTTGAAACTCTTTACCCCATAAAAAAATTCGGCCAAAATAAAAGCAAATAACCATAGAGTGTTGTCAATATTTAATCAGATTCTGCGTGTTAACAGAATTGTCCAACTAAATGATACTGAGTGATGTGATTGTGAATTACACCACAGGATTTCAAAGCTTTAGATTCGAACCCACTGATAAATTGTTTTGGAACAAGCATTTTATGACAAGGATTTGTCCTGCTCGAATCCATCTTAGATTCCCAATTTCAGTATTGCACTTTTTCCTGATGTTTGTTACTGTCGTAGAAGCAGTGACAATATATGCAGAAACTTGATCGTGCCCACCCAGTCCAGTAATTGTACTGAAAAAGACTGTATCTAAACAGAAACATATGTTGTGAAATGAAAAAAAAATTCAGAAAATGATCTTGAAAATAGAAATTAAAATAAAAAAAAACAGTCTTTAAATTTTAACAACAAATTAAACTAACGTTTATATTTTTCCCTTATTTGAAGTCAAGACAAATAGTTAAAAATTAAAATAAATAAAAAGTAAATCATTATTTAACGGTTGGTAACGCCACAATTACCGAATTACTGCGAATTAAAACGAAACACTGGCATATTGAAAATATATATTTCGGCTTTAAGTTTCTGAAACCGATGATATGAATTATTTGTGAGGATTTGATGTTACTCCAAAGATCATTCTTCATTTACTGTAAAAAAAAAAAAAAGAAGAAAGAAACCGAAAGCGACATCGTCTCAAGCCACGGTCCGGAGTCCGAATATATAGCTATCTCATACCCGTGGCTGCTTGAAATCAAAAGTGTCGTAATCTTAAATATTTACGCCTCTCTATTGTGACATCATATTCAGTCAGTGGGAAGTTTTGTTTCCATCGCAACTGATGAAATCAACAACTGACGTCAACAGTATACAAGGAATATTTCCTATACTGCGATTGGATATTGAAAGGTCGCAATAAAGTTCATCATCCGACTATGCTTTACTCGCATTGGTCACTATTTTAATGAGCTACGAAGAATTATCTCC